AGCATATAATAATTTCATTTAGATAAAGCATTATTTTTGTCATGAACAAATCCTTTTCTTTTTCTTTATAGAGAAAGGGAAAAAAGAGACAGAAGAAAAGAGAAAGGGAAATAAAGAGAGAAATAGAGAGAAATAGTAGTTCAAAGGTTAAGATTTTTATATAATGTTAGATTTCTTTGATTCGCTAAATTTTTATTTATACATATTTTTATTTTTATTAAATTAAACTTCTTTTAATTTAATTTTTGTATAAAATCTGCAAAATTAAATTTTATCATCTTAATCGACTTAAGAATAAATATTTAAAGCATTATTGAAATTTTGAGATCAAATTGTGATGTTGAGATTTACTAAAGATACACATCAATATAAGTCGATACAATCGTAGACACATGTATAATCGATCATAATAACGAGATTTACACGGATAAATGATATTAATGATTTGAAAAAAAGATAATTCTGAAATAAATTTTTTTTAAGGCGATACATTCTATAAATAAATCCATTATGTGATTATATTATTTGCTTACTGTAAATTGAAAATACCATTTAATAAAATTGTTGTAAAAATAAAGATCCATTTTTAATTTTTATCTATTTTTTTAGCTTTTTCAATAATTGGAAAAATTTTTAGTTTTATTTTTTCAATCCTTTTACTACCGTATTAAAGATTAGAAATGTCTGATTCAACGAATTAAACTTCTTTTTTTGTTACATTTCTGCAGATTATTTCGATTTTATTATATATTTTTTAATGCGTACAATATGATATTACATGACCGTGTTCTTGGGCCACATTCTTCGTCGCTTTCGGATGACAAATTATTCATATTTACTTACATAATACATGCCCAATCGTCGTCCTCGTCGTTTTCGCCGTTGACGTCTTCGTCGTTGTTGGATGTTCCTCGAGTGCACGCACAACCGGGTTCATTAACTGACCAGTAAAATCCGTCTTTATGTAACTCACAAGCTCTCTGAGAAAGAGAGTGGGAAGAACAGCGAAAGAAATACCGGACAGATTTCTCTATCCGGTTCTCTATCAGATTTAAATTATATGTCTTGATCCCGGTCAAGATATCTTCGATACCCTCATTTTTTCCTCAAAATTAACAATCAATTATGAATGAAGTCATCGAATGTCAAAATAAACACAGAATGTCATTCCATTCGCTGTCTGTCCCGACACGCCGACCTTACTAGGTCGGAGAATATCGAGGCGGATCAATAGATCAAAGAAGGCATTTGTCGATTTATCTAAAGACAATTTGAAAATGATCGAGAATTTGTAGCGATCATAGTTTTTTAAAGTTCACTTTTCGTAGACGCATCACAAAAGAACGTAACTTTTATTTTTTTTCTCTCTCTCTCTTTGACAAAAATGAAACGACTTGCAGTAACCAGTATCAATCACAGTCGCGATTGCACTCGATGCGAAGATCACTCGTTGCGTCTTCGCGAATAAATCCTGTCGGGCGGCGCAAGTCCCCTTTTTAATTCGCGGATCGTCGATATAGGAAAGAGAGAGAAAAGAAGAGAAAGAGAGTGTGTGTATGAGAGAGAGAGAGAGAGAGAGAGAGAGAGAGAGAGAAGAGAGAGAGAGAGAGAGAGAGAGAGAGAGAGAGGGACACAATAATGGATTATGCGGATTCTGAACGAGGGACAGAAGAAGGAGATAAAGATAAGAAGTAGATTAAGGAAGGAGAAGAAGGCAGGAGATTGATAATAAAGACAAGGCGGCTCGACGTGACGTTTGGTTGTACGCGCGCGGTCCACGATCTGTCGAATAGCGAGCGAGGAGATAGTGCGATGTCGTATTACCGCTAGTAGAGACCACCAGGTGCCCACCGAGTACCCATCGAATGTCGGTGGTAGGGAAAACGCCGCGCCGGGACTCGGATAGCGAACGTATGTGAAACGCCACCGGCTTAGTCGATTTCGCGAAGAAACATCGGTGGACGATTGCATTTAACGTGTTTTGCATACTCGTACCGGAATGTCTTTGAAAACTTCATGACAGTTTCTCACATACTGACATTATGACAATTTTTCACGTAGATAGAAAACTTCAGAAACTTAAAATACGCTGTACTTAATAACTTTGAAATGTTAATCAAATTTCTAAAGTTATATAATATGTAGTTCACCCGCTACACATGTATTAATAAACATTAATTCTAATTAGAAAGTAACTGTCTTGTTTTATATATATAATAATAAAAGTATCATTCCTTAATGGATTAGCTTAACGAACAAACATGGCTAAAAAGTATAATATTAAAGCGCACATCAAATTTCAAAAATTCCAAATATCCACTATAGTATATGAATTTTGGCTTATATTATAGTATTTGAATTTTATCGATAAAAGTGATTTATAATAAGTCTAATTGACTACGAGTCATTTGGAGGCACTTTTATCAATAAAAGTGGATTCAGAATTTTGGATCTTTTTATTTTAATTCTAACTATTTCATATACATTTTTATCATTGATCAGAAATAATCTGAATTTGAAGATAATTCCATTCGAATAATAATAAAGATAATATCAATTCTTCCATAACCATTTTTATAAGACTAAATTATTGAACGCTTTCGCAACAAATTAGAATTGACTTACTACTTATACATATTATTGTAAATTAAAATACAAAATAGAGGAAATCTAATATTTTTTAACAATGTGATATATTTTTTATTTAATAAACCTGTGTCTACAAGAGTTGCATTATAAAATTATTTCTGAATGCTACGTGCAAAGTTAAGTCTATGCTGCTAAAAGCATAGCGCATTTTGCGCTGCTAATTTTCCTCGCAGGTCACGCTTGCTGCTGTTATGCGTATATTCTGATTGATCTGTTGCAGTTGCAGTTTTTTTGCTGTTTCATCTCTGCGATGATAGATCTCATGTTATTTCCTCCTCGTATGAGTATTCTCGGCCCATGCAATATATTTATAGCATAAACAAAGTAGTAGTTATTATCTTTATTTCAACTTTTTGCCGCGCTCTACCTTCACGTTGAAATCAATTAATCAATTCCTCGTCGCAATACTTGCGACTGCGATCCGTGCAGAATGATGTTGCAAGCAACGCAAGAAAACCGGAAATAGAACACGCTTCGTATATTCACCGCGAGAGTCTCGTGATTATAGTTTTCAAGGCGACTGAGACGATCGTCATGCGAGTCTAGGATTAAGGGCAGCGAAACCGCAAAAATGCAATTGAAGGTAGACGAGTTATCCAGGAAAAATCCAGGATGTCATTTGTAATCACATCAAATGTTACGTTGGGATATTAAAAATTACCTATGTGTCGCGCTCAATGTTAAAACGAATAGAACGTACGAGTATAATATCGAAGACAAGTGTCTTGTACACGTAAAATATGAAGTTGCAGCGTCTTAGAAATCATCTCGGAATACACTATGAGAAAAGGTCGTAAGTGCATTTCCCCGTGAACCGTGTTATTTACAATGAGAGGCGATGATGAAATAACAGTTTTGTAAAACATATTGTTTGTTTCGAAGAAATACTAAAGATAAATACTAAAAAATAAAATTACTTATCTCACAATATAAGATTCGATGATTATTCAAATGCTCAAAGTGCATTTATGATCGATAATCCTTACGTACATTCGATAACTCTTTATTAAAAAAACTTTCATCAATTAATAAAAGAATTTATAGAATCTATAGTTGCTGAAAATTAAAAAAAATTTATTAAATCATTCGCGTGTGATGAGAAGACGTTATTGCTACAGAAAGACAATGCTCGTTATGATAATGAATTACATCCCGTCAAACCACTTTAATGATAAATTAGCAATTCAAAATCTCTTAAAGAACTACTTGAACGACTTCAAGAAACACATCTTTTTCCTCAATATAAAAGTTGATATCCTCAATACAAAAGTTCAAAATTTATTATAAATAAATGACGCTGTACATGGAATAGTTCATAAATCTATTTTATGCAAACATTAAATGGCAAAGATACATCAACCATTTTATCATAAAGCAATATATTTTGCTCTACAAATAAGACAATATGATCTATGCTAACAAAAAAGTTGAAAATAAAATTTTTTATCCGTATTTCATCAGGTAATAATATTTCATTAGAAACATAATTATATTGATGATGTGTTTAATGTGTGTCATTTTTGATGTGTTATAATCTATGATGAATTTATCTAAATTATCTAAATTATTATATTCTAAGTCTTATTATTTAAATTATTCAATTTTATATCGCGTCAAGCCTCTCTAAAAAAGATGTCTTAAATATGTTTATCGATACTGAATTAATTATAATTATAAAATTAGTTTAGCAACAAGCAACAATAAAGTGTATTTATTAAAATTGTATTTGTTTAATAAAATTTTATTTAATAATACTTGCACTATTATAAATTAAAAATTTAATAAACTTATATACATAAATAAAAATAAAAAATTATTTAATATCATTGTTAAAACATTATCTTATTATTAGTATTATATTTATAATATTATATAGTATTATATTTAATTGTTATTCATACATTTATATACATATTTTGTATTATAGATAGCATGATTTATAAAAATAAATGAAAATATTTGAAATAGTAATTTTATTGTTAATGTTTATTTCATTATATGCATTTTAGCATATTTATTTCTCAATTTAAATAAAATATAAGACGTATCCTTGCAAGAATTCGATTCATTAATATCTCTATATGAAATATTCAGATTATTAAAAAATCTGTAATTGTGTCTAAAAAAGATGTATTGTTAGTATATTAAATAAATTTGGCAAATATTTCAGAATTTTTAATGGTTAAAAAAAAAAATTAGCCAATAATATTGCAATAATCATAAAACCGTAAAACATAAAATCACCAATGAAATATTGTGTAAAAAACGATATAAAATTTCGTATGTTAAATTTCGCATATTTGGAAAAAATTAGTAAAAAAAAGTATCGATTATTATCAGCCATTATTTTAATTTTTTTTTTTTTGTCAAAACGAACATTTAAATATTAGCATTTCTAAAAGAGTTGGACGTTTATATAAAATATTTATGCAAATAATATGTCTATAATATATTTATATATCTATACTATATGTAAATAATGAGTAATCTATGGATCATTAAAAATTCGCATTTTGTTTCATATGTTTTCAATCATTTACATACAAAGACAATTTTTAGGATGTTACATTCGCAATGATACTAAAGTTATTTTTTCCATATGTATGTTCCTCTAATAAATAATCAAGTATAAATAATAAATAAAACTTTTGCAGCAATATGTATGTGATATATTATTGCATTATATACATGCATATATATATATATATATATATATATATATATATATTTATAAATTGTTTATACAATACTATAATATATTAAATTTATAAGTTTACCGTACATATATGTGTAAACTTATAAATTTAATGTTATAATATTAACTTTATAATTTAATATTATAAGTTGATTAATATTATAAGTTGATTCTTCAGATATATTTTGTATGAATTTTTAAAAAAAACTTATAGTTGATAATAATCAATATAGTCAATACTTTTCTATTATTCGAGTTCTCGTAGCACCGACGATTCCGACCATCAGATACAATACGCAAATTTAAAAGACATCTTAAAGACATATTTTTCAAGAAACTTCAAAAATTTTTAATAAAACATATTTTTGAGGTATCTCATGGTTTTTAAAAAGATATCTTAAAGTTATTTTTTATGACATTCTTTGGAGCTTGTACAACTATTTACATTATCGACTAATATTTATCGAAAAGCAAAACTTACCGATTGAAATACATAATTTAAGAGAAGTTATGAGAATGTCGTGCCCGCATTTTAGTTAGTATCCGTCTATATATAGCATGTTATCCATCGAAAGTTTCCGTAGACATGGCTATGTAGTTCAATATACGCGTTTTATGCATATAGAGGCGCTGGTAGACGGATTCTAGCTTAAAATCTAAAATGCGGATATAATAGTTCGAAAGTTTCTCATTGATTTATTGGATAATTTTAGTCTCTGCCTCGTATTTTTCTCTTGTGTTGTGTTACACATTGTGAACACATTTTCATATCATTATAAATTTTTATTTTGTCATAAAATAATTTAATTTATGGGATCTGAAAGATGCCACTAATCGAAAAATGAGAGGCCCCAAAAACGTCATAAATCGAGTCATAAGTGTCGGTCCACAATAAGTATTTAATTTTTAAAGAAGTAAGAAATTAACCAATTATAATCGAATATGAAAAGAATAATCAACTATGATTGGTCAATTTCTTACGATTTAAAGATTAAATATTATAGACCGACACTAAGCATTTTAAAGATAAAGCAGGATTCAGAATTGATCATGTCGTTAATTGGTCAATTAAATATAAAATTTTTTCATTGGTGGTTCACTAGAAAATTCCTAAATCAGCCAATGTGAGTGGACGTAATCAATCTCAATATATCAAACTGAACGCATGCAAATTAACATCGAAAATAGCACCATATAGGTTTTAGATTGAAAAATAAAATTTAAATAAAGTTATCCTTTACTAATAAAATTCCCCCATTTTAATCAATATAGTTTAATTTTGATCTCGGTTGAATTCATTTTCTATCTTTATATAATTCTATAAATTAAAAGAAGATAAAGGATAAATTGAACAGATCTATATTGATGGAAATGACAATAAAGCAGCCTAATTTATTAACCATTTATTTTAAAAACACCTTTACGCGTAACTGAATTCCAATTGAATATGTCCACTGTTTGACCATGTTGGACACAGCCACTTATAGCAACCGATGTTTAGGAATTTTCCAGTGGACCACTAATCAGAAAATTTTATATTTAATTGTTCAATCAGCAATGTATATTATCAGTCCTTTTCCTAAATTTTATTTTATGTAAGCTACACAATCGACCAATCTTATTTCGAAACACAATTCACTACTTTTCTGCTGAACATTGCTAGTTTCTTTTTTCTTACTCAAAATTAACCAATCACAAATTCAAGGAACGTTATGACATTTTTCGCATTAGATGATCAATCGATTTTCTGTATCTATGTATTATGTAAATCCATCTTTATGTACAGCTTGCAGTAACCAGACTAGTGTAGTATCGGTTACTATACTTACTGCACGTATGCTGAATAGTGTGCCTTTCTCGTCTTCAGAAAGTCGTTTGTATTCATATTCAGGTTCGCGTGTCAGATTTTTTTGCAAGCAATATTAATAGTAAGCAGCTGGTAGGTGTAGTTACAGTATGTCTATTGTCGATAGAATCTGTTATTACCAACGTAATTTAGAAACCTGCGGTGATAACGAGGATCGGGTATGTACATGATATTTGAGTTCAATAATCCACTTAAATAATATGCAACTGTATCCTACATAAACTCGATTATTCATAATCATGGATCAACTAAATAGTATTTGTTAAAATCACTCTTGTAAATATCATTTTCTCTATCACACATATTGCCACATTTTTCTTTTTTAAGGTCTTTTTGTAAATAATATCTTTTTTGATAATCTTTATTATTAATAACGTGACGATAAAATACAAATTAAATAATACGATAATATAAATATATATTTAAGATACATGTTCCTAAATTATAAAATATCTCGTTTCTTTTAGTTTTAGAATAATTATAATAACAAAAATAATTGCTATTACGAGCCATTTAAATCACAGAAATATTTTCAAGTGATAATTGCCCATAATTATATTAAATATAAATATATTTTAATTTCTTTATATATTTTTTTATTATTTTATATAATTAGATTCTTTTAAATTTTTTAAAGAAAAATTTAATTACTGGCTTGGGAATATTCTGCCATGTTTTATTTATAATTTGTGACAAGAATATAAATTTTTTTCCACAGATATTACATTGCATTTCAAAATTGTACAAGCTACCTGTAACAGTGCAGCATCTTCAAGAGACGGGAGTAGGAAGGACAGTGAATAGTTTCAGAAAATATTGTGACCCTGTAGGTAATGCTGCTAAATCTCTAGTTTGCAAATGGAAGAATATGGTGGCAGATGATAGAGATTCTAGTGATAAAGAAGATGAGGATGAAGCTCGTGAAATAGACAGTCCAGATAGTCCTGAAAATCAAGCTGATAAAGGCTCAAGATCAGGTGATATAGAAGAAAGTGATTCCTTATCAGATCAATTATCAGAATCAAAATATACGCATAGACATAAAGAAAGCAAGAATAAATTATCTACGCATAGTGTAGTACATTTGTCTAAGTTAAAATCAGAAGAAAAACAAGAAATGCATGAAAAAAGTAAACCTTCTTCCAAACATCATTCACACGGTGAAAAAAAATCCAAAGAATCAAAAAGCGGTAAAACTAGTTTAAATAAAGAAACTCATAGTTTAACAAAGCATAATCATAGCAAAAATGATGATTCAAAAAGATTAGCGATAGCAAAACTAGCCAGGTTAATGAGGATAGCAAGAAGAGAAAAGTAAATGACTCCAGTTCCTTAATGAAGGAAAGCAAAAAGAGGAAACTATCAGATAACAAAAGTGATGATGAAAAATCTCAATTATCTATTTCGGAACATAATCGTTCCCATCTGAAATCTGGAACTCAAATAGAGGTGAAAAATAAAGTAGAAAATAAACAGCTTTTAGCAATTAATGATAAACAGGATATTAAATATAACATGTATTTGCAGGAAAAATCTAAAAGCAGTTCTAGTAAACTTAAATCCCATGAATCAAGCAAAACAAAGGACAGCAGTGAGAAACAAAAACATAAAGAACATACTAGTCATAAAAAACATGATACAAAAAGAGATTCTAGCCATCATTCTAGCAAGGATATTTCTAAATCGAAAGTCAGTTCCTCTAGTAGTAAGGATTATGTTAAGAACAAAGACAAAGATAAGAAAAAGGAATACAAGGAAGATAAGAATAAACATGAGAAGACAAAAGAGACAAAGATTAAATTAATCCAAGAAATAAATGGTGATGAAGGAATAGATTGTAATTCTGGTGTGTTGAAAAAATAATTTAATATCATATTATTCTACGTTATTCTGTGTTATGTAATAATTTTATTATGTCAGAAAAGTAAATTTATGGGTTTGTATCCTATATATATGACAGCTTTTATGAGAACACTATATATATATACACACACACACACACACACACACACACACACACACAATTTTAAAAAATTTTAATAAATTTTTAAAGTTTAAAAATAGTAAATAATTTATTTGAAATTATTATTTCTGTTTAATTATATTTATTTCATACTTTAATTATAATGTAAACTATTCAATACATTCAAATTGTGTTATTACCTTTATTATATTTTTTAAAGTTTAAAATAAATTTAGCAATTTATTTTATTAAATCCGAGTATTATTAATTTGTAGTTTTTTGATAGAAATGTGTAAAATTGTATATCATATTATTTAAAATATTATCAGAAGTTTGCGTACATCATTTATTTTTGTGCGCTTGAAACTTTTTTTACACAGCAAATATTATTTTTTACAAATATTATTTTTTTAAGTATATGACAAATAAATGACAATATATAACTGAATAAGCGCGTATTTTTATCTTGAACGGAGACGCAATAATTTTCATGAATTAATAATTATCAAATTATTAAAGATAAAATTTTTAAGTGAAGAGAAATAATTTAATACAAATTTTATAAAAATTTTTTTATCTTTAGCTTAAAAATTTCTCTTATCGAATTCAAGTTCAGATATTAAATACTATATTTCTAGATAAACATTATTTTATAGTTATATTGACTAATATTAAGCTATTATATATGCAGGATATTTGAAGAAATCATAAAACACAATTAAGCTTTGAATAATTTTAAAACTTTAAATAATTTTAAAAAATATTTTTGAAAAACTAAAATAATTAGCTTATCAGACATAACTCGGTAGTATCATATTTTTTTATTTATTTTAGGTGCAAGTTTTGCAGAAGCACTTGGTATGTGCTCCATACCTCAGCCAAAAAAACGTCAAAATAATTTATCTAATGCAAATCCTAATAGATTAATTAAAACAGAAAGGATGTCACCACCCGCTAACAATAAAAAGATGCCACCTGTGAAAACTGAGCCGGAATGTGGCAATAATTCAAACGTAATTTTTATTAGTTCATTATTTAAATCTAATGTAAAAAAATTATTTCTAAATTAAAAATTTGATTACAGCCACCATCCCTTTTAGCACCCAACTTAAAGTTGGAACCGCTAAATGTGGATCTAGCGTCTACATTACCTGAAATCAGTCCCAATTATAAACCACTGCCATATATTAATCCTATACATCGTAAAGAAGAATCAAAGCCTGTTGATGACATCATTTATGTCAAGAATCAAAGGTAGGCATGCATTTTTTACAACACAGATGCTGAAATATTTTATTTTTAATATATTAGAAATTATATTTAATAATATTAATTATATAATATATATATGTATACATATTATTTATTCTTGTCCCAGAACAAAAGTATATTCTGGTAATAAAGTTGGTTATACAAGTGTGCCGTCATTGTATGAAATGTGCATCAGAGTGTTGATAGAAAATATTGATGGTGAGCATTTTTACTTATTGCATTGAAGAAACTAAGCACATCTTCATAGTTTATATTTTAATGATATTAAATGTTTTTGTTATTAGCACTCGAATTTACTGGTGGCGTACCGTATGATATATTAAAGCCAATCCTCGAACGTGCAACAGCTGATCAATTATTTATGTTAGAGCATCATAATCCATACCTCATAGAAGATACAGACATATTATGGCAATATCATTGTAATCGAGAATTTAGAAATAATGAGAGACAAGAAATGGAGTCGTGGCGTGAAATGTACATGGTAAGTCAATTAAAAATTATAAAAGAATAATAAAAAAGTAAACATATTGATATATATTAAACACATACAACTTATCTTATTAATATTATTAATGTTATGTAGCGCTGTTTGGACGAAAGAGAAGCGAAACTGAAAACACTTACTGCTAATATCAAACAATCTATAGATAAATCCGTCCCAGTAAGATCGACTAAACTTGCATATGTAGATAATGTTGTGAAACCACCACGGAATGTATTAAAAAAACAGGCAAAGTATGGGACAGCTAATGCCACTCCTGCTACCGTCTCCAGTGTAAAGAAAAAGTTAGCTGGCGGAGGTGCAACTAATAATGCAACAAATATTGCTGTACCACCACCGCCAATGTCTCGATTTAAAGCATCAAGTATGTATTTATTTTTAAGATTGAATTCGACTATAATTTGGTATTATTTAAATTATGTTTGACATGTTATATTTATTTTAACGAATAATTTTGTGTTTTTATTAGCATCAAGTAGTATGAAAAAGACGAAAGCACCACTCATGGCAAAGGCATTGCAGTTAATAAAAGGTCGTTACAAACGGTAGTGATGACAGTAATATTTCACGAATATTACAAATCCTTGATCATTTAACTCTACGATTTGTTTATTTATCGCTATAGCTTATCAATTATTTTATTACGAAATAGATTCCGCACATTTTTTACGTAACATTCTCTTTAAATATTCGTGTTCGAAGAATCATGATTGAGGACTATATTCGCGTATAATAATTCAAATAAATAACAAAACTAATTGCGATTGAATACAAAGGAATTTATTGTTTATTCATTCCAGTAAAATGTAATACTTTACAAAACATAAATAAGTCTAATAATCATGATGATTTACAAATTTACATATAAGAAATCATATAAAAAATACACATATGAAACATATAAGAAATTTATATCAGCTGTACAGAAGCTGACAATAAATTTTTCCTTTTTCGAGGAATTTCTAGATCTTGAAATCTATTTAATTAAAAACTATAGACATATAGATTAAATAAACTTTTAGGTTATTCTATTTTTAAATCATATTTATGGGCTTGTACATGTTTTTAGATTTTCAATTTTTAGATTTTTTTTAATTTAGGAATGTTTTTGAAATTAAATTTTGAATTTACTTTAATAAAGCATTATGATTGTATACTGAATCACGCGATAGCGTATTTTAAATGTTGCTGTGATTTTTCGATTTCATAAGTTACATTTTTACTGCATAAATTCTGTAAATATATTTTGAAAAGGTAACGAAGAGAGAATAACAATTGGCTATATTAATAATCAACTATCATGTAAATGATGTATGATTGTGATATAAAAAATTCTTATTTGACTAATTCTGATACTATAAATTTAATAAGAGTACAAATATATAAGATATCTCATTGATTTTATTTGGTGTTTGTCGTCGAATAAAAAAATACCCTGAATTCTAAATTGATTTCTATGTGATACATCTATATGTATATGTATACACACATATACCAACAGATACGCATATATACAGAACTTTTTGTGCACGCGCGCGCACGTGTATGTATGTAATTCTTTTTTTTTATCTAACATTAAATCAGATAAAAGAAAAAGTTATTTTATTTAATCGTAAATTAATAAACATGAGATATCTTATATTTCTGCTGGAAATACTATGCATACAAATTATATTAAATTTTTTATTTATGTATTTAATCAAGTTTTTATATATCTGTATTTTTATCGCATTGAATATAATCGAATAATATTTAATAATACATGAAAACTTAAAATTAAACTTACATCTAATTGAAAACGATAAGAATATAGATTGTATTCTCATCTTTTTTAACCTTTAATATTTTCGCAGATTGATGTATTTCATATATATAAAATTATATCTTTAAAAAAATTGTTCCTTTTATATAAATCTTAATAACTTTTTATTTTTAATAAAATGATTTTATTAAAATATAAAATGTTCAATTTATTTATTTTGACTATATATATAAATAATCTGAATAAATTATATACTTTAATATTACGATAATTTAGATAGAAAAATAAAAGGGCATGATAACATATTATCATAGAATTATCACATTTTCTTTCAACAATAATAACAATAAAACAATTTTTTATATCACTCTTTGTATCATATAAACCTTTAAGGTATAAATAAATTAGAATATCCGACTATAGCTAATTCTAAACATTTATTTAAAGACAAATTTTATTAGAATAACAAGTATTTTATATAGTTTTCTTTCTTTTTTTGTCTCAAGTTAAAGCTTAATTTTTTAATTATGAACTGTTTTATATCTATTGATAAGTTAATGTTTTAGTTAAGTTAGTATTTTAGTTTAAAAGATGGAATAAATTATTCAATAAAATTTATTCACCACTATATCAAAAATTTCTAGCTATAGAATATGTAATAATTCTATGTATTTTAAAATGTATGCATAACGTATATATTTCGTATTTAAAAATAGAAATTATGTAGATTACTCAAGTCTTTATTAGTGCAGTAAAATAATAAAATGTTTACATTACAGGTATAGAACAGAAATATAAGCTTATATAAATTTGTTCATATTTTTTCTTGTAAGGTATACTTTTTAGCTGTAGTAATAATTACATGCATGTAAATTATATAATAAAAATATCAGTTTTATATTTTTGTACAATACATTTTAATTATATCAAATGATAAAGATAGTATAAAAGTATGTTAATATAACCAATATTAAACAAATATAATCCTTAATTAAAAATTGAACATTACAAAAAAATTAATGAATATATTATTGAGAATATTAGAATTTTATATTAAAAATTGATTCAATAAAAATAATCTTATGCAAGATCATTTGTTTAATTCCTATTGAAATATTATTATTCCTAAATAGCGTAGAGAAATATACAAAATATACAATTTATTTGTATGTAGATGTATATGTAGATACATAAATAATATTAATATATTAAAATATATTAAAATATTTTATTAGAAATAAATGTAAAGAAATTTTTATGGCCAAAAAATATTGGCTATTCTTGGAAGAATGAGAGCAATACCAACAGTAGAAAGGAGATTTACACTATGATTATCCAAAATCTGTCTACCGCAAATGTGTTTTACACCTTTCCCAGGTCGCTCCACTATAATACCCTTTTCATCTATTCCTAAAAGTATGCATTAATTATCACATAAAATAAAATGACATCTATTTAATTTGATACTAGGGATTATTTAAAAACTTTTCCAGATCTAAAACAAAAAAAACATAAAGTTCAAAAGTACATTTATACTACCTGAATATTGTAAAGTTGCGCCAAGAATAGAATCTAAGATGCTGCCAAAGAATCCTCCAAATGTCGCGACGACTATGATGGGCCACTGTGGTGCTGCTAGTTGCAGTACGGCAGTATCAACGGTGTTTAATATCATGATATAATATGAAAATCCAATTACCATACCACCAACAATAGAACATATTAGTCCTATCCAAGACACACCACCATTTGTCCCTTGAGAAATAAAGTATAAAAAGTTCATACTAATTCATCAATCTTTTATTAATCATTCATCAATCTTTATTAATTTATTAATTTTATAAATTA